TTACTAAAGGTGTTTATCAGCTGTAGGAGTTCTTTGGTAGAGTTTTCGGGGTCTTCTGTGGGCATTTTAGAAGGTCCAGATTGATGTCAGGGTAGGGAGTCAGTGGGCAAGGCTTATGCTAGCACATCTTAAAACAACAAACATTTATTCTCTCTTGGTTTCTGTGGGTCAGCAATGTGGGAAATTCTAGTGGGCCATTCTGGCTGGGGGGTCTCTTCTGAGGTTATAGGCAAGTTTTAGTCCAGGCTGCAGTCATCTGACGCTAACAGATCCTTCTAAACTCACCCAGACATCAAGTTCTTTTCGGCCGTTTCACCATGTGGTCTTCTCTATGGTCTACTTAAGTATCTTCATGGCATGACGGCTGGTTTCCCCAGAAGTGAGTAATTCAAAAGTCCTTTTACTGCCCAATCTTAATAGTATATCATTCCTTTATAGTTTTCCATTTTGAAGAGCAACTGTCTAAGCCTAGCACACACTGAAGCTAATCTTCACCTCTTGAAAGCAAAGGTGAATGAAGATTTGATGGGCCCTAGGCATGGTGGCATACATCTGAGACCCAACATTTGGGAGACTGAGGCAGGAGAGCAGGGGATTTGAGACCATTGGATTACATAGAGAGTTCCAAGCCAGCTTGGTCTACACTGCAAGACTCTTTTGAAAAGGCTGCAACAGCAACTAACTAATAGTCATAATAATGGAATCAACCCAAAGATTCTATTTGATCTTCAAGAATCAACCTAACACTGTGGTTAAGAACATAAATAAGAGATTCATAACCACCTAGATCTCATACTGACTCCCACATTTGCAAGTTTAGTCAAGACATTTAATGTTTCAGAATTCAATTTCCAAAACTATAAGAAAGAAACAAAATAATAAAAGAATAGGATGATGTTCCATTGGGTGACTGTGTTAATTAAATATAATCAGGCATGTGAAATATTTGATGCAGAATAGATACCCAATAAATATTACCTAACTGTTATAAAGGAAGTGTGCTATTGTTCTTCATAAGGTAGCATAGAGATTAAGAACACAGTATTTTTTCCCTGAGTTGGGATTCTGGCTCTGCCACTTAGTCATTAGCTATAAGTACAAGGCTAAGCCACTAAATCTTTTTTGGCCTTGCTTTTCTGTAAAGTGAAAATAAATAATAGCTGGTACCTGGACGCTGAATAGGTGTTCAATAAATTCTTCATGAATGAGAGCTTGAGGGTGATATAGGACTGCAGTGACGAGATATGCTTCTCCCTCTCTCCCTGCCTCCCTCCCCACTCCCTCCCACCCTCCCTCTCAACATGGTTGGTGTGTGCGTGTGTGTGTGCACATTCATACAAGTGTGGTAGGGATGCTGTACAAAGCACATGTTGTTATGCCCTTGATCATGATGGCCTCCTCTCATTCTCTAGTTTTATCTTTGCCTCATTGTTTCCACTCTCTTCTACCTTAGTTTCATTCAGGCACACATCTTTTTTCATCCCTGCTGCCTCAACCAAGAATATTTTTAATTGTCTTTGTACAGAAGAGTCTGGGGATTTGGTGACAGGAGGGGGTGGGTACAGCCCCATGTCCCACCACCTCAGAGCTGCTACATTACCTTAAATTGATTTTGCAAATGAAAGCTAAAAGCTAAGCAAAGGCGAACCATCCATTTTGCCTAAAGATGATTATAATGCTCTTTTATGGCCTCCTAAATGACAAAGCAATTTGTTACCTGCCTGCATCAACATTTGCTTGTATTAGTGCCAGAGAGGCTTGATTTTTATTAGCCCCACGTTATCATTTTATGAAGTCACAGGGGCTCAGTAAAATTAGCGTGCAAATAGAATGCCTGTTTTGCCTTTCCCTGTGGTCAGCAGAAATGTAGAATGCAATTGAGTTGATACTGGGTCAGGGGAGGCATCCATAAAGTTAGCCGTCACCGAGGGCCTCGGTAATGTTATTCATCATTTTTGAAATGTTGGAAGACATGGGGTCAGTGTTAGGTACCATTTTTTAAAAAGGGTTTGGGGGTGGGGGTTAAATTTTTTTAAGTGGAAAGGAAATATAAATACTAAGACAGTAGCTGAATTTCCATCAGCAATAAAGAACGAAGCTGGTCTCTTGTGGACATTACAGATGGAATTGCAGCAGCTGTAGGACTGTATACTGCCAGTGGATCCAGAAGGCAGACAGGGTAGAGACAGGGACTTGGGCTTGGAGCTAGAACTGGACTGCTGGCAGTGTGACCTTGAGTGTTATTCGTTCCTTCTGTGGGTGTCAGGTCTTTCATTTGTAAAATGGTATGAACACATTCAACCTCATAAGAGTGTGGTGAAGATTTAAATGAAATAGCAGTGCCTAAACTTACTTGTGAGAAAATATATCTAAAGTATTTTCATTTATTAATTTTAGCATCCAGTTCCTTGGTACCGGTTCCAAACAGGCTCCTGGGGAAGATATAGACATTTACCAATAGACATCATTTTCTCCCTGCAGTAGCTTATTCTGTCCAGGAACTGTACAAGTGTTTAACTCTTCTTTGAGACTATAAATGTATTCTCTCCTCTCCAAGGTACCCAGCATAGAGCTGTGCACAGAATGAACTTTCATGTACATTGTCCAATATGTGTCTAACTGGCTTCCAAGGAACTGAGAGCCCCTGAGCTTACTGGTCACCCCAGTGGCCCAAACAAGCCACAAGTCTGTAGGAAAATGTTTGTATTCGTTTATTTGTTTATTTTTGGTTACTCTTCTTTTTTTTTTTTTTTGAGACGAGGTCTCTCTCTGTAGCTCTGCCTGTCCTGGAACTCACTGCATAGATCAGGCTGAATTTGAACTAACAGAGATCCTTGCCTCTGCCTCCTGAGGGATGGGATTAAAGCTATTAAAGGTATGCACCGCCACTCCCAGTTTTAGGAGAACAAATCAAGCCCAGAAGAGCACCTGTCTTAACTCCTGAGCCATCTCTCTGCCTTGAGTTAAGATTTTTATCTCTTGTGTCTGACATTGGTGTGTTTGCTGTGATGATGAACCACATTCAAAATGACCTTTCACCATTGTTTTTAAAAAGTTCCTGTTAATTATTTCTGTGCCTTCTCCCTTGAGATCATCCTTTTAATATAGATTGGGACCATTTAATCCAATTTTTTCAGTTTCTTCCTAAACTTCCTTCAAGTTGTTGTTCCATTGTGTGCCACTCAACCCTTCTGCCAATAGCTGAGTATCTCTTCCCTATCCATTTTAGGAAGGCTATTCTTGCTTTTTGTTTATAAGAATGTATATGTGATATATATATATGTATATATATAAAATATTTTCATGATAGATGAACTTTATTATACAGGCTAGATTTCTGTAGCAGTAGAATCTGACTGAGTTCCTGTTTTCCTACTTTTCTATATATCTAGTAATTTTTATTATATGCTGAATATTACAGAATATATACATTGTTGAGTATATGGATTTTATTATCTTTCCTTCTAAAGAGTTGGGCTTTATAACTGCTTTATCAAGCAGTTAAGATTCTTTTCCAAGTTTGATTCTTCTCTGATAATTTTAAAGCCTTGTTAGGATCTTTTTGGAGTAATTTAGCCCCACCACTAAGATACATTCCTTTTAAGTTCTCACTCTTCCTGTATGATCAAACATGACTTATTCTTTGGAGTCAGAAGGTCAAAGTTTTCTTTCCTGCTTCACGGAAGCGAGGAGGCAGAACAGAGAGAGTTTGAGTATGGGAACCCAGCCTTCAAAGGCACATCCTCAAAGACCCACTATTCCCCAACTAGGCCTTGCCTGCTAAAGTGTCTACCATCTTCACAGTATCATAGGCCTGGGCATATGTCTTCAACACACTCTGGAGCAAAACTATAGCCTAAAAGTTCACCCTGTGCATGCACAGAGTTTGGGATCAAAGACCCAAGAGGGCTCTTTATAGATTTCTGGAACTCCTTTTCTCTGCTGGAATTCTTGCAGCCCCTCCACAACTGCTACCTGCTAGTCTTGAATCTCAGCGAGCCTTCCACAGTGTGCTCAGGATATTACACTCTGCTCTTCATTGTGTGATGGACCCTCAGAAAAAGACAGGGCAACCATTGGGCATGCCTTGTTTGTTCCCTTTCCTTATGGGAATCTGGTCCTGCCCCTGGTCTCTTAACAAACACCTAAAAGTAGTTGTTTGGTATATTTTATTTAGTTTTCCAAATTTTTTTTCTTTTTACCAATGCTAGGAGTAAAACCCAGGGCCTTAAATGAATTATACCAGGGCTCTGCCATTAAGCCACCCCTGAAGATCTAGTTTCCTAGGTGTTTAATGTAAAAGGAATCTGGTTCCTGTGAATTTATCACCACAAAAACAAAAGTCTGAATTCTAATCTCATATGATATCACCTATTAACTGTATGACCTTGAGCAATTATATAACTTCAGTTAACTTCAATTCCTACCTCTATAACAGGAGTGTGAACTACATGTTGCTCTAAAGATTATGAATACATATGAGATATATCTGGCACAAAAAGATTAATTAAATAGCACTCTGGATGTTACTATTATTATTGTAAATAGCTAGTTTTTTATTTTGTCATTTACTAGACTATACTAAGTTTGCTTAGTACTATGTAATATGTAGCCATATTTCATCATCACAACCAAATTAAACAAATATCATTCTCCTCATTTATAGTTAAGAATACTGAAACTCAGAAAGATATGCAACTGCCTACGGGCACAGTGCATGGCTTTGGGATTCAACTTCACTGATGCCTTCCTCAGATGGTTGTGAATATCACATATTAATATAGTATTCCAAAGTGCATGGAGAAAAGGGAAATAGTCTTTTAATGTTAAATAGATGGAGTTGTCATTAGTCAACAAGAACTGGTCCTTAATGGTTCTAACCCAATGATTAAGCAAAAAGAAAACATCCACCCAGCCTCTTCCTCAGGTGTGTCCTCCCCACATACAAATTTCTAGCCTCTGCTTGTATTCCATGGTGACCTTCCACTTGTTTCTTACAGAAAATCTCCGAGATGGGGCAGAAAAGAAGGTGGTATTCATCACAGGACGAGTTCACCCAGGGGAAACGCCATCTTCATTTGTGTGCCAAGGTAAGACCAGGATCTCACAGTTGTCCCATGCCTACCGAGTCCCTGGGGTGGTCTTTAGGACAGTGCAGAGGCAGACAAAGTCTTTACCTCACATGGCAATTCACCTCAGTTCTTTAAAGAGGTAGCAACTGATGACCACTCAGTTTGATTCGATAAATGTTTATCACTGAGTGTACATGTAGTAGGACAGATGAATGGGTGGGTGGATAAGTGAACAAGGGGGGCTGAGGGACATTCTTTTATTGCTCTATATTAAGGATGACCGGGGAGTCCCCTATACCGCCTACCTTTATTTGTCCTGAGCAGTTGACAACAGCAGGAACTCTGACCCAAGCTAGGTATGTATGTGGGTAGAGGGGTTATAAGTTGGAAATACTGCCTGTTTGCCCACTTTATTCTTTTACTTAACAACCTTTAAAATACCAGCTATGTACAAGGAAGTGCAGTTGGCCTGAAACAACCAACAGGAAGACAGTTGCTCGGCTTCAGTGTATTTCTTTATTTAGTGTAGTTGCATTTAAATTTATTGCCAACTACTTCATCTGTGTAAGGGGATTAATCAGCTATCAGCATGAACATAGATATAGTCAATAAATAAGATATAAATAACACGGTGAGTGTCCAGGTACCCAGACAGTTGCCAGCTCCTTTCCAAATCTCTATTCCATCTTCCGTCCCTCCCTCCCTCCCTCCCACAGATCATGACCTTGAGTTTTGTGTTTTGTCATTTTCACCTTTATTTGTAAACATCTTTGAACAATGTGTGTTTTGGTTGTTTTTCCTGTTCTTGAACTTTGCACAAATGTCATCACTCTATGCACCGAGGCTTGCTTTCCACTTGGTGTCCATGTGGGTGAGTAGCGCTCCAGTTTGCATGCTTTCCCTCACTGTGATATATTCCGCCTCTGTCTGTAACTCAATTTACTGGTATTTCCTATTCTCCTGATGATAAATAATTAAGTTTTTACAATATTTATTTCTTGAAAAACAATGCTATTTCAAACATTCTTCCACTGGAATGTGTATGTGATCTGTCTGTATAAGTAAATTATTTGCGAGGGTGAACAACATGGTGACATTATTGTCAGGTCATAAGCTACGTGCATTCTCAGCTTTATTAGGCCTCCAAATTTTTCTTGGAACTATTCAACTTTACGGTGCCACCAGCCACGTGTGAGTTCCTACTGTCTCCCATTCTTGCCACTATTTTATTCTTTTCCTCAAATTACTAGGGATTTAACCCAGGACTTCACACATTTTAAGCAAACATTCTATCACCTAGCTACCTACAACCTTTAACAAAAGTTTTAGTTTGAAACAGGGCCTCTTTAAATTGCCTGGATTGGCTTTGAACTTACTATGTAGCCCAATCAGGCCTCAGAGTTGCAATCCTTTAGGCTCAGCCTATGGAGTAACTGTGATTGCAGGCATGTGCTACCATGCCCAGCTTCATTTGTACCTATCATGTAAAATAGTACGATAATATACTTGCACCAAATACTGTTCGAGAAATTTAAATATTTTAATTGTAGCTTATTTTAACTATATTAATAGTCTATGTCACAGAAACTATTATTAGCTATTTTTAGACATATGAGAAAATTGAAATTTGGAGAAATAATTGGTCTCATTTCAATCTCAAGATGACCATTGGTCAGAGGGTTTGAGAAGGCTTCTGGAGGTTAGACAGCTCAAGGGAACATGATGGAGTAAGAGTGTATGGAGATTTGGAATCAGACGGAGCTGAGGTCAGATACTGGCCAGACCACCTCCTTGCAGCACCACATCAATTCCCTCGAATGTAAAATGAAGCTAACAGAACTATCCAGGAAGGCATTAGGAAGCTGGCAGGAGATGAATGTAAACACGACACCTAGTCCTATGCCTAGCACATAGCAGGCTCTTGACAGATGCCACCTCCGTCCCCATGGGAACCCGAGAAGATGAAGTAGTAATCTACTTTGCAAACTCTCAAGCACTGTGCATACAAATATGGGTTTCATCTCCCCGTCCTGTTCTTCCCATGCTGTTTAGGCACGTCTGCCTCCCTCCCTTTCTCAGCCGATGAAACCGAGTCTCACGGAGAGGATGTGATGGGCACCGAGTCCAGCAGCTTGTCAGCTGCGTGGCTGGGCCCCAGTCTCTACAGCTGACTCCTTCACACTCTCACTTTTGGCCCCCAGCTCTGTCCTTACAATATCCTTTCCCAGGCTCTCCTGGGTCTGCCTGCCCCTTTACTCGAAACCATCTGTCAGTTACTAAACTTGGCAGCAGCTCCATTCCCCCAGCTGATTGAATGTAACTGCTTTGCCCTTGTTGGCAAAAAAGGCGGCAAGTCTTACCATCTAGATCTTCATCTCTAGGAAGCCAAACCCCTGTGCCCACTATGTCTGTAAGCAGGACAGAGGGTTGCCATCCCATTTTACAGATGAGGATCTTGGGTGCTCCCCGTTTCCCGAACAGTGATCTTGGACGGTGATATCTTGATGCACTCAGTGCTGTGCTGGAGGCTTTCAGATACATATTTCCTCCTTGGTAGAATCCGTGAATGCCTGCTCACTACTTTCTCAAGATAAGTTCCAGGCTCATGGTGTGACATCCACAGCTCATCATGTCTAACTCTTGCCGAGCTCTCTGATCTCATCCTTATTACAACTCAGCTCCACACAGATTAATCTCAGAGGGACAATCTCCTATCACCTAGTTCTTGTCCTTACTGCTTCCTCTGCCTCGGAGGGAGGTTACTTCTTGACACTTCATAAACCCTTCCTGTTTTCTAAGGTTTATTTTAAGTGCCCCACCACGGATCCCTATAACCCACTTCCTCCAGTTCTCTGCTTTCTGCTTATATTGAAAATCTGAAAATTAGTGTCGTCAGTAAAGATCTTCACTACTCCGATTTGTTATGTGATCTGTGTACATTCATCTTTCCCAGTCAAGCATGATTGATTTAAGGGTTAGGGCTGGTTGTCCAGTGGAAACTTTGCACATCTGTAAAACAGGGTTATCCTTATCTGGGATGCTCAAACTGAATTTGGAAAGAGACAGCTCAAGGTCACATAGCCAGCAAGTAGTAGAGAGAGAATTTGACCTTGGGTCTGGCCAGATCCCCAGCCTGTACCTGCTTCCCTGTTGTACTCCAGGCTGAGACATGCTAGAAGGTCAAGCTTTGTCTCTGGAAGAGCAGCGTTCTGATCACTCCGCTTGGTGTACCCTTTCCAGCCAGAGACATGGAGGCTCTGATAAAGTAAGACGGCTTGCCGAAAACGGAGTCCACCTCCTTGTTTTTCTCACCATCTTTCCCTACTTCATCATTTGCCCCTTGAGACATACAGCAATTCATCTTTCCTTGAGGCAGCACAAGGCAGGCACCATTACCCACGCTTTTCTGCCTACTTACGGGTTGGGTTTGAACTCTACAGGGACAGCCTGAGTCAAGCCCCACAGGGCAGAACTGAAGGTTTCTCTCCAGTAGTCAGAGCCTGAGGCTTGGGCCCTCTCCCCAGCCCATGTGGCTCCAGGGAAGTCCAGGTCTAAGACCTAAGGGGACAGTGTCTGAAATCCTCTGTTCTTCTCCACTCACGGGCTCGGTGACCTTGAGCGGGAAACAGGCCTGGAAAGCCCAGTTGTCTCCATCTGGCTGCGACCACAGTCCTCACTGCCGAGCTGCTAGAGCACCTGCTTCTGGGAGCAGAGTGCAGTTCTGTCATCATGGGTATCTGGAAGGGGTAGTGTTAAGGATGGCAGGCTTTACATTTTCCGAAGAGTGCTTGGTTGCAGAAAGCAGAATCCAGGCCACTTTTCCATCACCCCACTTCACTTGTGGCCCCTGTGGTCCAGAGTATCCTCATTCTTTAGTTTTCTTTAGAATTTGAGAGAACAAAGGAGCTCCCATACTGCTCCCAGAACAGGATGTGTGAAGCCACAGTCTCTTAGTAGACAGAGAGACTGGGTCCCAGCACCCCCACTTCTTATTACACTCTGACCTTGGGAATGTCACAAAACCTCCCCGCACCTCAGTTCCTTCATCTCAAAGGGAAACAATAGGAATTCTGCCTCATGGGGTTTTTATGAAGATTGAGGGAGCTAACGGCCACATCCATGCAGAACAATGTCTAGAACATCATGTTGAGGAAATGTCACCAGGGGTGAGGTGGGAGGAAGCAATAACGGGACACTTGGCAGGCCCCAAACTCTCAGGGAAGCATTTCCTGCCTGGCTTTCATGCCCCTCGCTATGAACCTGCTCTCAGAGGCTCCGCCGCTCTGTGACCCGCTGCTCTGTGACCTGCCGCTCTGTGACCTGCTCTGCCTTGCTGCCGTGGGGAAGCCCTGAACTGGGTGCTCCTCACCTGGAGACTCCATTGCAACTGAGAAACTTGACCGGAATCAGACCATCTTGGTCTCTGACCTCTGAGCAAGGGCTTGCCTCTCTGAAACTCCTCAAGGCTGTTGGCATTTTCTCAATTCAAAAATAAACCCTCCATCTGAGGCGCACTCTGTCTCCTTCAGAACCTCTTGCTGAGTTGCTTAGCCCACCTTTATGGAATGCTTCTGCCAGGAAGGCATGCCCCACTCTGGAGGGCAGCAGGCATGGCTGAGGTTTGGAATTAAACAGTCTGGTTTGAGTCCCAATACTTCTGCCTGCCCTTTTGGGTACCCTCAGCAAGACTTGAGCTCTCTGAGCCTCAAAAATGGTGTGATAATAGCCTGTCTGAAGATCTCCAGAGTGTGGGCAGCTGCTGTCCCGGCTTCCTGGAGCAGTGAGTGGACACCCTGAATGTTACCAGTCAAGTTTGTGGAGAAACGATCTCCTCTGCTTGGAACCTACTGCTTCTTGTCAAAGTGCCCTCCACCTAAGGGCACGTGTATACATGCATGTATGGGTGCATGTGTGCATGGGTGCATGTGTGTGTGTGTATGTGTGTGTGTGTGTGTGTGTGTGTGTGAATGAAGAATTGGTCCTCTCAGGAAGTCATTCCTCAGGATTATTTTGTCAGG